CTCACGGGTTCTTGGGCAAAATAAAGTTGGCATACAGTTCGTGTTCAGCAGAAACTTGTTTACATAGTAAGAGTCGCACCTCCTATGCATCATGCTGGGCAGCCAGATTGACCAGGAACCAGTTTTCGTATCGTTTGTACTAGGAACCAAATGTGACGTGGACCTGTGTGTCATAGAAGAACTTAGTGATGCTGTTGGCGATATGACTGACGGATTGTGAATCCCCAAAAGTACTCGATTAGCCCATGCATAAGTCTTAAAACTTAACGGAGAGAGCTAGCACCGGCTTTATTTGTCCTGCAACTCATCTACGCGTCAGCCATCGTATATGAGATACTGTGTCATCAAATTTTTATGATCCGCGTCTGGCACTTTTCATCGACAAGAATTGTGAGCTTGCCCAGCGGACTAGAGAAAGAGGAAGCAATCGACCATACTGACCGCTGTATTAACACAAAGCAAGACATTCTCACGAAATGCCTGTGTATATTTATTAATTAGACTGAAGAGAAAGTGTCGACGATATGGACCAATTAGATCTGGCGAGAGTTCGATAACCATAGTGTGCGTACTCGTAGCAACAGCATGGCAGCTCACGTTGCCACTTTTCTGTTCGATGAATCATCGTGAGAATGGAGGCATCCTCAACAGTTACTCATCCGTATTACACGAAACAAGCAGCGAGATAGAACAAATCGCGCAAGGCAGAAGCAAAGACAACACCACTACAATGATGGAAACTAGGAAGTTTCCGAAAGACCAGCACCAACACAATGTAGCTCGTTAAGGCACTTTTTTATTCTTCATCCGCTTTGGGGATAGAGCATGGAATAATTTATGTGGACCGCGTTTCTTTAGCCATTTTATGTCACACTGCTTCTCTCGTCTTATGGACATGCCTAACACGCGGACGCCGAGGTTCCTACTGTCTGCGGATTGGCTCCCCGTGGCGGACGTCTGACGATCTCGTGACGGCATGACATAGCAATTCTCGGCAAGCAGGAGTGCACACCTTACCACTTCGATTATGGAAACGAGGCAGTTTCGAAATCGTCAGCACCGATACACTATGGACCAGGAAAGCGCATGTGCTTAAGCTAATCTTTCGAAAGTATTAAAAGGCCTCAATAATGTAGAAATTGTCTTATGCGTACTTGCTTACCTTTTCATAGAACGAGGTAATTAAAGTGGAGATTTCTTATTGTTAATTTGCTAGTTTATTTCCGTAAGAGAAAGTTCGCGATAATTCTCAAATAATATTTCACGTACTTGACCGAAAACAAATTCGTGTCTGTTTTTAGCGTCTGTGCCGATTGGGATCTAACCAGTTGACTAGTAGTCTCAGTTTGGAATGCATCAGTCTATTTGTTGATATTGTACATTACACTAAATATCTGTATCCATCTCAATTACTCTCTAGATACGACTATGGACAAATTTCATCTGCACTGCAAAAGTTTCAATAAATTCCACTGCCAAAAAGAAAAAAAGTTTTCATTTGTTAAAAAGTAACGTAAAAAGACGAGGAAAAGTTTGCAGTTTCTTAAATGACCTGTTTGTTTAAATTATTAAATTATCTGAAAGTTATCTGTAGAGGTTTTCCCGCGCAGTCTATTATTATTTGCTGCTGACCGCTTCTGGCATGAGTGATTCGAAGGTATATTTTCCTCGGGAAGGGCTAGCGAAGGAAGCCCATATAGGATCTATGGATGTTTACCGCAGAGTGCATACAGAGTCTGTTACAAAACCTACTGAATTCTGGACAAACATTGCCAAAGACTTTACATGGAAAGTTTTCCCTGAACCAAAGAACACCTTAGCTTACAATTTCGATTTGAAAAAAGGCCGAGTATTCATTCGCTGGTTTGCAGGCGGCAAAACAAATATTTGTTACAATTGCTTGGATCGTCATGTGAAGAACGGTTTGGGTGACAAAGTTGCTTTTTGCTGGGAGGGCAATGACCCAAACGACTCGAGGAGCATTACATATAATCAGCTTCTAGAAGAGGTGAGACATGTGTTTATTTTTTTTTCCAGCTTGAAGTACATGTTTTGTTTTTGTGCAGAAAAATTAATTGAGACGTTAGATTTTTGATTTTGGAGGACACAAAAGTAGCCCTATTCTTCTAGTTTATTAGGAAATCTATGAATGATCTGTTACGTTTAATTGTATCCTTAGGTCAACACATTTGGCACGACTTTGCGACGTCTTGGTGTCAAGAAAGGGGACCGTGTGGCAATTTATATGCCAATGGTTATTGAGCAAGTCGTGGCTGTTTTGGCCTGCGCCCGAATCGGAGCTGTCCACTCAGTCGTTTTCGGTGGCTACTCAGCTGAATCTCTTTCGGAAAGGATAACTAATGCAGAGTGAGTATTCGTCCACGATCATAAATTTAAAGCCAATAAAAACACCGTTTTATTCATGCGGTTAATTAACATTTCATTAATTATTTGAAAATTTTACCGTTATAGTTGCCGAGTTTTGATAACTTGTGATGGGACCTGGCGGGGAACAAAACTCGTCAATCTGATGGCGGTTGCGACGCGGGCCATGGAGATCTGTGAATCGAAATCGCACGCAGTGCACCATTGCATTGTTCTTCGCCATGTAACTTCTTGTCCAAATAATTCAAAAATGTCCTTGGTTGCCGGCGAAAACTGTCAGTCCTTCCTACCCGGAATCCGCCCTGTTGCAAAGTAAGTCAATTCCATTGTTGTGCATCTGTAAAAAATATTTTGTGGGAGTTTGCTTACTTTCCTTCTATATTGGACTCTTCTTATGAGAACATAATCTCGTACTGCGAACAGAGAATCGTGAAAATTCAATTTCGCACCTTTAAGTTCGTATTCGCTATTTTGACATTTGATACCTCACTAATTTGAGGGAACTGCAAGCGGGCATCTATCCTACAAGAATTACATGATTTTTCTTTTGATATTGATAAGTTCTCTAATTTCTATAAAGCTGTCCTTTGTCGGAGAGCGGCGATACGCGGTTCTTTGGAATCGCCAATTTCCACTTTTGCCCAGAATATTATAGATTAATTGAGGTAAAATTAATTACAGTCCAGAAGCGTCGATAGGGACTCGAAAAGCCATTCCGTTTTTGGATCTTAGTAGGATTGGATATTAATTGGACTGGAGTGCGTCCAGTTTTTTTTAGGTTGAAGAAGGTAGCTATCGAGGCCAAACACGTACGCCTCACTGTTAACAAATTATTTAACGACTGCTGGGAAGTTCTGACTAAGAGGGGAATGGTTTACGAACTCGGTTATATCGAGGTTCTTCAAAGGTAATAGTACCCGTCTCTGTTTCCAGTATGGCCTCTTCTTCAATGCGCGTTGCTTATAATTGAACTCTTTTTCTTGGTTTCAGCCGAATTACGTTCCACATTTCTCATAATTACCCCGGAACACCGAGGCTTCTAAAATGTATTTCCATAAAATGTGGAACACTTGGAATGAGTTCTCGTAGATATGCGACACATTTTTATCATGTGCTTACATTGAACCACATTCTTTTCTGCCCTACTGATTTGTTTGGGTAGGGTACCAAACTTTAATACTCCACTAACCAGTGATGAGATTTTGAATGATAATTGTCTAAAAATGTCAGCATTAAACAATGATTTAATTAGTTGGAACTTTTTAAAGTTCATATGGAGACTTTCGCATGCGCAACTTTGAGATCTGCGAACATGACCCCTTGTGCATTTCACTATCTTAACTTTCCGTCAGTGGATATCGAGTTTAAGTGATTATTCGCGTAGCTTTTTAAATCTGTTTATTTCCTTTTACTCGGTGTTCTCTATCGTTTTCAATAAAAATGTACGTATTAGAAACTATATAAATTTCGCCGTAGTTCCTTACACCTGTTTTTCTTCGTCGTACACCCGTTGGGTTTACTGGGAACGTTTTTTATATCTCGATTATCGCTTGAGTTTAGAGGTACTTATAACATTCGACCCACTTTGAATGTTTTAAAACGCTTGCTAGTCCTGGAAATGTTCTGTTACGATTTCGTTCTCCGGTTTAAAACAAAGAATTCATCTCTGACATTTCCTGCGCTTATGTGTATGTTGCACCTGCCTGTCATTTCAAACGCTCGGCATTATTATTAGTTCCCCGAGTTCCACCTGTTTAGTTTCTTCCCTAGTCTATGAACGTACGATAAAAATTGGAGAATTTGCCGGAAGCACTGAGTTGGGTTATAACGCCTTTTCTTGAAAATGCATTTTCGTCTTTCTGAGACCAAGCCTGTTTCATCGAGCGAATTGGTACAATTTGCATCTCATATACACAAATTGTGGGTTCGAAAACTCAGATATTCCGACCTCAGCTATATTTGAGCATGTTTAAAGCCAAGCGGCCAAAAGAAGATCCAACTCAATATATATCCCATGCTGAGGTGAATTCGAATTCTTTGAAGCTATCACGTCGTTAACATTACTAGTAGACGTATGCCAAAACGATTTCTACGGCGGCATCGCTGTAGGTGCTCTCGGTCAAAGTAAAGAGGAAAAACTATATTTGGCAACACTGAAGATCCTTCAACGAAAGGAACTCTTAAAAGCCTACGCAGAAGTGATAGGCCTGACATGCGTCCGTAACAGCCTTAAAGACAGCCCTATATGCCCCACTATGAAGAGAAGCCAGGGCGAAGCGTTATTCACGCAAACTGGCAATGCCACAGGCCGAAGTCCAACCCGCTCTAACCTATCCGCATTGCCACTTCAAATTGAGTGTCCAGGTTATTTTTTCTGTACACCTTCATGTTCGCCGTAGTTTATACACGGCCATTTCATCAAATTGCACGCACGTTTTAATCCCTTCGCTTTAGCTGGAAGCTAAAATTTTTCACTAAGAGGCTCCCACTAAGATGCATGACGTACGCTGTACCAGCTACAGAACCCTCACCAACTCATCCCCCACTCTTCTACTTATTATATATTTTTGTGTCTTCTACTGTAAACTCGATACCGAGTCTTCTACAGCTGCTCTACGGCCACCTAGTTTACCATGATGCACAAACGTAACTGCCTGCCAAACAAAGATGTTAGTGACCTGGTCGGACACCCACAGCACGACTAACTACTCCCCTCAGAACTGTAGTTTAGATTGCATTCATTGCATTCTCATTTATGCGAAATCCTCAACCCTTAATTGAAAATCGGGTTGTAAGGAATTCGTGGCCAGTGTGTGTGTGTGCTACGCGCAGACTTTGGCGTGTCGGCCACTGTGCCTTACCATCGAAATATTGCGGCTGTTGGATGGGAAATTGCCGTCCGCGTCACTGTAAAGAACTTAAAGCGCAATTTGTCAATGCCTCCTTTTCAAGCCAGTGCTGTTCCCTATCGCTTTCGGTGGTGACCTTAAGAGTTTCGAGTGCAGTTGGTTGGGATAGTACGTTTATTGTTCCTGAAACCAACTGCATCTTACGCCATTTGTAACTGTCGTAGACTCTCGGAGTCCCGGCTTTCACATTTGCTTACCTGTTCATTCGCCCCTCTGTCCCTGCTTTTCACTGTAGCACTTTCATCCCGCACCCTTAATAATTTACTTATTTACGGCATGCAGCCTCACTGTCCAAATGCGACCTGGCCGTGATATATGGTGGGACCAAGCCGTTGCTGACTGCAAGTCCTCTCCCTGTGATGTCGAGTGGGTGGATGCCGAAGACACTCTCTTCCTACTGTACACCAGTGGAAGCACGGGCCGGCCGAAGGGCATGGTTCATACTACCGGTGGCTACATGATCTACGCTGGAACCACCACCAAGTACACCTTTGACCTTCAACCTGACGATATCTACTGGTGCACGGCTGACATTGGATGGATTACAGGTATTTTAGCCCGTTAAATTGTTTTCCCAGCAAGCTGTCCAGCCGGTGAGCTATCTCGTGAAGTGTTTACCAAAATTCTGAAATGTGCTCTCAGCGAGAAAGGATTGCGTGGGTGGTGTTGTAATATTAATAAACTTGCAGCCTATTTACACAATACTTAAATAAAAACAGGATGCTGGCTTCTAGTGCAGCTTCTTCCCGAACGCTTGCCAAAAAATGGCTACCTAATTAATAAGAATTTTGCCGTTGATTTTCGATGGTCCAGTAAATGAAATTATATTTGGAAAAGAAACAGGCACAAAAGTCTTCTTTTTTGCACTCATTTGGCAACTAATTTCATCTTCGAGTTCTATCCTCGGAGGACGGTATATTTCGGTTTTAAAAGGCTTTTAATTATGAGACCCTTTTAAGACCGTGGAATTTCCACTCATGTGACATCACATTACTACTTTCACCAATGCTGCTAATGACGTATAGTATGCGCTTCACGTCCACTGCAAGATTTAATTCGCCCTATATGACGTCTTTGTAGCATAGAAAAATGTATGATTTTCATTAGAAGGACAGTATACAGCATACTTTTGAAACCCAAGGGGCAAGTATGGCTGCAGGTTGGATTCAAAATTATCTGAGAATTGCAGAACCTTTTTGAGAACCACAGGCTGTACTTTCTTCGAGTATACATTTAGGAAGGGACGTAATTCTGTGGAATGATTAAAAGGCAGAATACTTTTGTACATATTTTCTATAAAATATAATTGAATCTATAGGAACATAGAAGGTCATTGGAGAAACATCACACCCAAGTACTAATTATTAGCTAAGTGGATGAAAAGAATCTCACTCGAAAGTTGGCATTCTAGCATGATTAGAATATTATTGTATTATGCTGCATGGTATTCCAACCCACTAATGAACCCCCTCCCCCAACATAATCCCTTCTAATCGAGAATACGTTTTTGGATTTTGATTAACATGTAATGAGGTAAGCCGCTTACTTTGAGCTGGCCAATCAGTCCCCTCCCTAAGCTGGCAATCCTTATAAGCGCTCTTGGCCCAGCCTTTTGCGATCTGGCGACCGTAACTTGAATGGCATCTCACTAAGCGCATTGTTTATTCAGTGTTGTATTGTCTAACTTTTACTGTCTGGAGTTGTATGGCAGGCGGCAAACTTTTGCTGTAATTGTGATTAAAGCTGCTCACATCCCCTCTAAATGTTCGCAGTTTTTCTCGAGTTCTCTCACTTCAGGAGGCTAAGGAGCTATAAAAATTAATCGAACAGATTATCGGTGGGAATACGGCCTCGGTAGTGACAAGTTCTGACCTCTTTGCATTGCGGAAACCCAAGACTGGGTGCCTGACATCTGAGCCGAAGTCAGTCGCCGATCATTTTAATTACGGTACTTATTTGAAGTATGATATCACGTCCTGTCGTCTGAGACTGAGGGCTATCTGAAGTCACATTGGCGTGCCGTTATCAACCAATCCTGGTTAAGATAGCCCAGGGGTTTTCATTCGTATATTTTTGGCAGATGTTTAAAGGTCCAGATTGTTCACATGGACGTACAATTTATCAACAGAAATGAGGTATAGAACAATTCTATGGATACTTTATTGAGACCCAGTCTCTAGATCATCTACACTTTTAGAATGGGATACATTCAAAGCAACGACAAATTTGTCACAGTCGTTTTAGTTAGGTTACTTATCGTGGCTGCTACTCTTGGTGGACCGCTATGCTTGTGTTCTCCAGAATCGAAGATAATCCAAGGCGGAAATGCTTAATTTTAATCTGCAATCATGACGAAACGGCTAGCATTACCGCAACTGACGGCTTTATTTTGAGCTGCAGGTGCTGCCATATTCGGCGCAGAGCTGCCCGTTCACCACTTGCTTTTCGCGCCAGAACGCGTGTATGTCCCTCACCTGCCTTAATCTCGCATGCGTGTAGTCCATGCCCACACGTCGTGTGTGACTGTCCCGCGGGATTGCATGGAGCACTTCGGACTCTGTGTGGATTAGAAACGCTGCTCCTAACGTCCCAACTGTAGCGTCTGTCGCCGCTGCTTGTTTGATAACTCATGTTTTGCAGGCAATATCCCGCCGAATTTTAGGTTAAGGGATTGGCCCTCGGAAGACAATAATTTAGGGATTTTGATTCATACGATTTTATTAAGTTGATTAACAATTTTCAAGTCGGCCAACAAACTTAAAGTGTGCACAGTGCAAGCATGACGTTTAGAGTCGAAGTTAACAGAAACCATGTCATCGGCTTTGTGCGGAGGAATGCAATGTGGTCATTTGGACAACTAACTGCAACAAGGGGAAAGAAAATCCAATTTCACTCGTTTTCGTTTTCTGGGACGAACTCAATGGCCATGAGGTGTTTTCTTCTTAAATCAAAGATTTCTAGCTCAATCAGATCTAGCCTTCTGCTTGTTAGGATTGCTTTTCTATTTCAGTGGTCAATACTGGTACCGAAGCTAGAAGCTCCCCTTGATATTAGAATCTCCTACTCGGTTCCAAAAACGTAGTATGAGGAAAGTTTGCCAGCATATTCCTGTCGCCTCTCATGACCTTTTTAAATTGATACTTTGTTCCAACCCGCCGATAAAAACTGAATTTCGTCCTCTCTATGACAATCTCTAAAGTCATCGTCACCCTCGACTCCGTCGCCCCAACTTTCGATTTTTGTTGTCTATATTCTGCACGGGAAGGGAGTGAGATCGACGGCTTAGGGCACTTTTGTCACTACAATCTGACGCGCTCGAGGCTACCACGGCGAGCTAGAAGTCTTGGTTTGGAAGATTGCCAACTGACAGCATGACTTTAACCAAGCGGTCAGCCCGGTATGTTTTATGTCGCATGGAGTTGTGTATCGAAAATTTTGTTTCTTTTTGCCCAAAGGCCACAGCTACCTAGTTTACGGTCCTCTTTTGAATGGCGTGACCAGCGTCATATTTGAGGGCCTCCCAACATGGCCGGACTTCGGGCGGTATTGGTCGGTCGTTGAGAAATACAGAGTAACCAAATTCTACACAGCTCCCACCGTCATCCGCACCCTTATCGGCGCCGGAGATGAATTCGTGAAAGCCCATGATAGATCAAGTCTAAAAGTAAGTATTTTGCTCCTACCCCCGCATTTTTCCTGTTAACCAGTCATCCGCGTCTCTGCGCTTTTCCGCGTATATCAGTTAATATTTGCTTACTGGGCATGAAAATGATCCTTCCGGTCGCCTGGTATAGGAAAATGTCGTTCTAGGGTCTGGGTATTGTGTCTGAACTCATCCATTTTTGGCCCTTATGTGAGAGGACCGCCTTTAGGGTACCCGAAAAAAGACGCCCTGTCGTACTTGTTAGACTATTTAACCATACTTTCTGCTTCATTCTTGCACAACTTATTACAACGACTTTCCGTTTAACTGAATCGTGGCAACTTATTCTCTTGAACTATCAAAACGTGGGTTTTGGGAACTTTTTATCTCACACTGAGATTGGAGTAAGCTTTCTGTGATTTAAAGCGTGGGTCGGACTGCGATGACCCATTTTGAGCATGACTTCGTAGGCACTTCTTACTTCCATGATGTTCAGGACCTATTCATAAAATCCTTGCACGTGTCAACTCGACCAAAAGTTCGTGTGTTGTACGTGTAGACTGACCGTTTGGCGTTTTCAACCGCTGAGCCGAAGTCCACCGCCCGTCCTTTTTCTTTTCACTGAAATATTGTGCGTGTGGGAATAGGGCGAGGTAGACGCTTCCCAAGTCAACTTCGCTGTAAACGGTTTCACGCACAAATAAACGCTGCCACCCATCTAGCACCAGTAGTGGTTGTTATTGCTTGCGATTGATGACTTGTCGTCGGCCCCATGTCTTGAATCATAGTTATCACTCAGGCTGAGTTATATTTAGGGTACAAACGCACTCAAAAGATGACTGATATGCTTCGTGGACCAGTACTGTTTTAGTCTTTGTGCGTCCCGGTTCTACCTTAAATTTTCTTCTGGAATGCTTCTGCTCACTTATCTTATCCTTTTTAACAACACCGCATCCCTGAATTGCTGCCTGAGTTATTTTGCTGCGGTTAGCCCAGTTTTTCTTTGGTTACGCTGTAGCTTCAGGACCAGCAGCCGGTTTTGAACCATAAAAGGTTTTCGAGTGGAGGCGTATCGTAACAGATCGGTCAGCTTGATTACTCTTCGCGGACAGGGCCATGGGTACTCAGTTAAGAGCAGGTTCTTATTCGTTTATGAATGCTCACTGATCGCTAACGGGACTCACTCGTCCCACCCTCGAGCCCGCAAGCAACCGCATCGTGGCTAACAGTGTAGGCAGATAAATATTGCGGACAAAGACGAAAAAGACTGGAATACGTATTTCTGGCTCATCAGCCGTCACTAGCCAATCATATCCCACCCTGGGTGGTGCACCACCCGAGGTTAGACCCCGTGACCTGTTGATCAGAACTGCAACGCTCTAACCACTGAGCCACGGGCTCGTTGTCTTACCGGTTTATATCGACAATATTTATATTCATTGATGAACGCTCACCAATCGCTAACGGGACGCACTTGTTCCGCTCTTCCAATTTAAAAAAAAACCCTTCCCGGATTTCGCTCGTGCACATTTTCTTGACCGTCGAGATGTGTCTACTGTTGGCGGGGAAAGGTCCCTATCAGTTTTTCCCCACCGACGTCCTCCTTCCACAACCACTTGGGCTCACGCGACGTTCGGGCTGAGCGTCGTCGCTGACGATTGCTCGCCGCTTTGCCACAGCACCCAGTCCTAGCCGCAGCATACTTAGCTGGAACCGATGTGCCTGTCATGCGCACCACGACGCCGACGCCAACTGACATCCCCTTGTATCTGTGGCCTTCCTTTTCCTGGTCATCTTGTTTGTTTTATTTGCAGAGGGTGACTATGATTATCAACGATCTCGTCGCTGATAGCCGATGTGCTACACAGTGCCTCCATACGTGGCCTTTTACAATTGGGAATTTTGACAAGCTAAAATAATTTATTGTCAGACTTGTCGTGGTTAATACTGCAGCTTGAGAATGCATCGTTTTTTGAATTTACAAATCGGCAACTTTAACTTGTTCAAAGACTGCCTTCACCGAGTCTAGGTTTGCCGGCCGTTATGTGCATTGTAGCTTTACTTCATGGGAACTGCGCAGAACTGTCGCTCAATAGCGCAGTTCGATAGTAAAGAGCGACAGGATAAATATCTTCTGAATGTTCGATGGATTATATGCTCACGTAAGCAGGGACACTTACAAGAATATTGTGGTCGTGGGCTTAAATTGGCGCACTTGCACTTCTTACCTTGAAAGAGCTCGGGTTCATCCTTGTCTCGAGTACTTTTGCACTTGGACTTTGTTCATATGGTCTCACGCATGTGATTTAAAAGAGGGGGAGGGATGCCCACACTTGATGCGCTCGTAATCAGATGCAGCCCCAACCTTTAAAGTAGGTGCGCAACATCCGGAAGCGCGCACAGAACGTCATTTAAAAATAGGATTCATGGCACTTAAAATGCTGTCTACTTTGATTTATAACGCAGCATGTTCTTTGTATTGCGGAGAGCCATTTGAGCTTAAAGGCATCCTAGTTGACGTCAGTAAAAACCTTGTCATGTTGGTTTAACTGCTCATTGTACGTGCGTGCAAAGAGTTTCCTTTTATTATGACCCTCACATACCAACCACTACCGCCTACAAAAAATAATTTTTTTTTGAAAAAATAGTCTCCAGTGCACACACCCACCACTTATTTTTATAGCTGTGTTAATTCGGTGCTTTAACGTGTAGTCTGTTAATCATAAAAATATGAAGTCAGGTTAGTTTCAACTCTTCTTAAGTTCGTGTAAAATGCAACGCCTAGCTCTAATGTTGAAGGTGGACTAGAAGTTACTTAGCGTACCATCCAGACCTAATCAGTTATGTTCGCCTCGATCACCTCGATCGACAGTAATTACTTACAATTCACAATTTTTTCTCCGTCATTATTCATTATTTTATTTCTGTCAGCAACGTGCGTGCTATGCGTTTCCAGTGTTCGAGACCCCACATCTACTGCACAAATCTCTAGTGCAAACTCAGCCGGATTATAGTGCACAGTTTATGTGCTCGAAGTTTAGCTTTGATACGTATAATACACCAGCTTTTACTTTCATTAGAGGTAACTTTGCCGTTCGCGGTATGCATTAGTATATTTAAGGTATATAGTCATAGACCGAAATTGTAGGTGTATATTTGGGCTGAAATCCGTCAACCGCTGCGTAACCTACACATGCTGGCAACAGGCAGACTGTAGTAGTATATACTGACGTCGTAACTTACCACAATAACGGTCCAGGTACTAGCTAAAATGCCCAGACATGTTTCAGCCCAAATATCCACTTACACTATTGGCCTATGCCTATAGGCCTTAAATATACTAATCTATACCGCGAACAGAAATTAATTTCTAAGGAAATTAAAAAGATGAACTTTCAGAACCGGTATGACAACCAGACAACAAGCAGGAAAGCTGGGGGACCCGCTGATGAGCCGGACCCCTCGCAGCTGTGTCAAGTAGCAGCAGAATACCGGCAAACACGCGTCTGGACCTTTTAGTTAGTACCTGGGCTGTTAGTATGGTAAGTTACAACATCGGGTGTAATACCACAGTTTTTTTACTAGGGAGCGTGCGATACAGTGGTACCTTATCATGGCGGTACTTCCAACAGGAGCTAGTGGTTGCTTACGGAATGATTGTCTAGGGGTTATTTGTGTATTTGAGTGATTTTGAAGGTTTAATTTGGGAAAAGCTGTCAGATAACGCCATCAAACCATGCTATCATCAAGCTCATTATTTTATCGCTTTACTTCATCTCTTGTCTGCTGACGCCGCGGTTTGTTTCTAGATCCTTGGCAGTGTCGGTGAGCCAATTAACCCCACCGCATGGGAATGGTACTATCACGTGGTGGGTGAGGGCCGTTGCTCCGTTGTGGACACCTTCTGGCAGACTGAGACCGGTGGG